CAGTCTATATAAGTAAATATTCTTTAAAATACTGTACCCATTTAATTTTTTTTACAATAAACATATTTATTTGCAGATTCTTAGAAATTAATTCATTACATATACTTTCTATTTGTGAGGATGGTCTATATTTTTTGCACATGACAAAGAGATAGAAGTCCTACTTTTAAGTGCAAAATTCAACCTTAGGAGTTTCAACCAGTGCCTCCATAACATACTGAATTGCCAGAATGTAGATAGTACTGTGACAAATGTGACAAAAATATCCCAAGTTCCTGAACTAAGATTTCCTCACTTCCCTTTGTGATACACTTTATGGTTCATTTTGTCACTTCCTCCCATCTCAAGCAACGTGTGTGAGTGGAATTTATGAGATGATAGAATTAGGGCCTATTTTGCATTCAAGGCCAGCTACAGCTGGTTTAATTTGAAGGCATAGATTTTTTTCCCTTACAGCATGTCATTAACATGTTGTAAAAGATTTTTGCATAAAATATTTGACACCTCGGGGAATATGCTTAAAAAAACATAGGCTGGAAATTACAATTTTTGTTATATTGTCTGTGAAATTATCCTTTAACCTTTTTTAACTTTTATGTTACTGCTAAGCACCTCCAAAGGCAGAATGTTTAATATAGGCAATTGAGGGAAGAAATCTTTTTGAGATGCTTTTGAAATACCAGTTTTTTGACATTTTACTTGTAAAAGAATCCCACATAATATGCAGAATTAGACCTAGCTTGGATGTTTTGGTTTAGTTTTCAGATTCCTTGCATGTATTATGCTGTTATTGTGACATCTCCTGATGGTGGGTGTATTTTCTTAAAGGGTTTTTTTTCTGAGTGTGGAAATGAAATAACTAAGCACATTATGGGTTAAGCTCACTTTTCTAGGGGAAATACATTTACACTTATTCTAATATAGAATAACTGACTCAGGAATATAAATAAGAAGGCTAAGAATAACAGAGGAAACATATCAGCTATTTCTCACAAAGAACCTTAGATGTTTTTGTTGCTGGAGCTATTATTTTAAAATTACAATTATTGTAATTCTTAATGGACTTTAACTAGGATGTCTGAAAGAAAATATAAAAGAAAACACAACAACTATATGGATATACACAGGAAAACTAATTTTTTGTTAAGAGGCCAATTTTTTGAAGTTATGTGCCTATAAATATATGCAAGGCTTCTGAATGTATTTAATTATTTATATTTAAGTGACATGATTTTTCAAAGGTGCTGAGTACTTAAAACCCTGTTGTCTTCAGATGGATTTGTGGGTGCTACATACAGGCAGTCCCCGGGTTACATGGATCCGACTTACATCGGATCCCTACTTACAAACGGGGTGAGGCAACCCCGGACTAGTTGCTTCCCCCCAGCAGACCAGGGAGACACGAAGCTAGCGCCACCCGCCCCCCCCCCCCCCCCCCCCGAGTTCTAGCAGACAGAGTTTGGAGCAACTTCACTTGAAGCACACTGAAGATACTTCTAAATACAGGCTGTCCCCGGGTTACATGGATCCGACTTACATCGGATCCCTACTTACAAACGGGGTGAGGCAACCCCGCACTAGCTGCTTCCCCCAGCAGACCAGGGAGACAGGGAGCGGCTTTTCTCAGCAGATACCTCAGCTTGAGAATAAAGGACTGAGGGAAGTGAGGTGTGGGAGAATAAAACTGAGCTCTGGAGAAATGTTTGGCTAGAGTTTCCCCTACAATATGTACCAGTTCCGATTTACATACAAATTCAACTTAAGAACAAACCTACAGTCCCTATCTTGTACGTAACCCGGGGACTGCCTGTACTTGAAAAAATCAGGCCCGTTACATTTAGGTGCTTAATTTTAGGCATTAGCATTGAAAGTTTTTTGTCATAGTCTCTCTCTCATGCATACACACATGCGCAGGCGCACACTTGTCAATATAGTCCACAGTACAAAGAACAATAACACCTAATTCTCCAATCAGTATGCTAGTACAAATATTTCTGGGTTTTTTAGTTTTTGCTTCCTTGTCCAAAAGAGAAGGATGAGATCAGCAAGGTATTTTTTTCTGTTACAAGAACTTTCTATCTTTGCAATCCATCTTTCTAATGATGGTAAACTGAGATTTTATTATTCCATCACTACCATTGTTCCGGTTGCTAATAATAAGTTTTGAAATAGCCAATTAATTTCAGTGTACCTACCTCACTTATCCTCCAAAGGAGAAATACAGAAGATAGTACAAATTAATGTTCCACTATTTCAGAACAATGGCTAAAAACTACCTGGATTATAAAACTTTTAGTTATATAAATTTACTCTTTGAGGACAAAATTTGCAAGGATAGCTTTCATAATCCTGCATATTACTATTACACTGCTCTACAGCCAAAATGCTTCTGAAATAAATGTAGTCAAACTTTACTAATTCTGGGTCACTGAGAACGAAAATGATTAAAATTGTTGATTGGCTCTAGTTTTCAAGATATGCTATTGGGTCAGTATATACGACCCTTGACTTGCGAATGGCAGAGGATAAGTGAGTTATAAAGGGAAGGGGTCTCAATTTAAACCAGAAATGACTATAATACATCTTTGACTGGATCTATGAATAAATCTATGACTGGGTTTGGACAGAACTTGCTTTTCAGGCAAAACAATGAATGATGCAATCTGAAGCTGGTATTGCGTCATACATGATATGAATTGCATCATGTTATTCCTAGAAGTCATGGATGATGCAATCATAACGAAGCTTACATCACTCTGCTGAACAAAAATTGCCCTATATCAGCTCTAGAAATCATACAGTGTCGTGCTCTCTTATTTGTCAGTGTTTGATTTTGCATAGGGACACATTTCTGTTTAGCCAAAGTGAGCAGAGGTGCCTCGTACTTGTGTGAACAGTGCAGATAACTTCTGCTATGTTTGTGGTGAAGTGACTTTTGCATCACAAAAGCACAGTATAACCACTATGGTTAAGTAAGTCTATCACCTTTATTTTGGCTGCAAAATTGGAGATCAGGACAAGAGGTGGGCCCCACACACATGCTGCAACACTTGTACAACAAATCTTCACCAGTGGTTGAACAGGAAAAGGAAATCTATGCCTTTTGCAGTGCCAATGATTTGGAGAGAGCCAACAGATCATACCAGCAATTGTTACTTCTGTATGGTGCCTCCAGTTGGGAAAGGTGTGTCAAAGAAGAAAAAGTGGACTGTGCATTTATCCAAACATTCCATCAGCTATATGCCCAGTACCCCACGGAGAAGGACTGCCGGTTCCTGATGCACCAGAATCATTCTCACTTGAGTCAGATGAGGAAGAGGAAGAGGATGAAACTTCTGGTCCTGAACCATCAATGTCACAGGACCCACATTTTCTCCCATCCTCCTCCTCTGAACCACACCTCATAACACAAGGTGAACTGAATGACCTTGTCAGGGATTTGGAACTACCCAAGCGTAAGGCAGAGCTGTTGGGCTCCAGACTACAGCAGTGGAATCTCCTGGCAGGTGATGTTAGGGTTTCCATGTTCCGTGACCATCAAAAGGATATTGTCCCATTCTTCTTCATGGAAGGTGATCTTGTAGACTACAACAACATTGATGGTGTGATGGCAGCCCTCAACATCGTTCACGATCCAAATGAGTGGAGACTGTTCAATTGATTCATCGAAGACGAGTCTAAAAGCTGTTTTGCTGCATAATGGCAATGTTTTGCCATCAATTCCAGTTGGTCATGCAGTCCATATGAAGGAAACCTATGACAACATGAAACAACTTTTGAGGTGCATAAACTATGACCAACATCAGTGGCAGCTTTGTGGCAATTTGAAGGTTGTGGCTCCCTTGCTTGGTCTGCAGACTGGATACACAAAGTACTGCTGTTTTCTCTGCAAATGGGATAGTCGTGCAAGAGATTCCCACTACATCAAGATAGATTGGCCACTCCGACAGTCATTGGAGCCTGGGAGGAAAAGTGTTCAGCATCCAACACTTGTTGAATCAAGGAAGATTTTGTTACCACCCTTACACATCAAGCTGGGTCTGATGAAGAACTTTGTCAAGGCCATGGACAAAACACAAGCAGCTTTCAAGTACCTCTGTGGAAAATTTCCAAGGTTAAGTGAAGCTAAGATAAAGGAAGGTGTCTTTGTTGGTCCTCACATTCATGAACTTCTTCAAGATGATGCATTTGACCATGCACTGCGTGACAAGGGAAAGACGGCATGGAAAGTCTTCCAGTTAGTGACAATAAATTTTCTTGGAAACAACAAGGCAAACAACTACAGGTTGTTGGTGGAAAAGCTCCTCAAGGCATACAAAAGCCTTGGTTGCAACATGTCACCAAAGATATATGTTTTGCACTCTCATCTAGATTATTTTCCACCGAACTGCGGAGCAGTGAGCGACGAGCACGGTGAGCGATTTCACCGGGACATTGCAACAATGGAGAAATGCTATCAGGGCAAATAGAGCCCATCAATGCTTGCAGACTATTGCTGGACAGAAACAAGAGATGCTCCATTTAATGAATACAAGAGACAAGCCAAGAAGTGCCGAGTAGACACTGAATAGGACTAAACTATGTACATAATAGTTTTTTGCCTTTTGTTTCATAATAAATTTATTTATATAACCCTTTTGCTTATTTTTAAAGTGTTACATAAACAGGACAGGTGAAATATTATCATGTAAAGCAACCATAAACACATGAAAAGACCTAGGTTTACAATTTATGATTAATACTCTATCATCTACACAATATCCATAGACGTAAAATGTAAAAACTTAAATATCTTGGAAACAGTAGCCAATCAGTTGTTTTAATTGTCATATTTGAATTCAGCACATCAAAATACATAATAAATAGCACATTTTATCTCTGAAGCAGACAACTTCTAAAAAATTGTAGACCAGTGCTTGGAAGTTTGGTAAAAGTGGGTGATATATTCTATATATAAACCATGAATTTTTATAATATCTTTTTCTTATTTCCATATACAGATTCCCACTTGGAAGAGCTTCCGACACTTCTCCATTGTGCAGCTAAATTTGGATTAAAGAACCTTGCTAATCTTCTACTCCAGTGCCCTGAGGCAAGTCAGGCTTGTAGAATAGCCAACAAACGTGGAGAGAACCCAGCACATATCGCTAGAAATCATGGGCACAGAGAACTTCAAAAAATCATCCAAGAATTGTCAGTAAGTCTGTATACTTTTCCACAATGTATACGAATATGTAAAACCAACTGTTTAGCAGTACTGTTCTAGGAAAAAGTCTTCTCTGAAAGAAGTACTGGTATTTGTCAAACCCTAATAGATTGTTGTCCTTCTCTTTAAAAACATTATGTGCTGGATTCTGGCTGCACCAGAATGGACGAGGATACAACTTTGCACACTGGTATAATGAGTAGCTAGAATGTTAGTGCTTTCAAACCCTAAGACTATGTCTACATTGTGCATTGTTGTGCAAGATGATATGCAAATGAGGCATGGCGATGAATATCACCGGGCTTCATTTGCATACCTAATGAACCACCATTTTTGTGGAATGGGCTTTTGCGCAAGAAGGAGCTGTCTACACTGCTCCTTTTTGCGCAAAAAACCCCTCTTGCACAGGAGCCATTCTGCCGCTTATTTTCAGGAAGAACAGCTCCTGCACAAGAGGGGGGTTTTGCGCAAGAAGGAGCAGTGTAGATAGTTCTTTCTTGCGCAAAAGCCTCTTCCGCAAAAATGGTGGCTCATTAGGTATGCAAATGAGGCACGGAGATACTCGTCACTGCACCTCATTTGCATATCTTCTTGCACAACAGTGCGCAGTGTAGACGTAACCTAAGTGTAGCAGTAGTGGAGGTGCAGGTAAGATAGAACAGTGAGAACTTCTCCATATAGTTTGCCTAGGTCTCTGCTGTCTGTACAGCCAAAAGCAATCAGGGATCAGAGGTATAGGGGTATTTGTGCTGCACCTCTGAAGAGAAAGTAAGGGGATGTAAAAACTCCTTCCAAATTTTCCCAGTGTCTCGAGAAACATTCTGTCTCCCTTAACATTCCACAAGGATAAATTTCTTTGGACAACTCTCTACTTTCACCTTGAGTATAGCTCTGATTATAAAAGCCATTCCAAAGAGATAAATGAATGAGCAGGGCCTGATTCTACCTCTCATACTCATACCAAGCAGCTCTTTATTCTGCATGCTGTGCAATGGAACTTCTTGTCAATAAGGCACTGCTTCCTATTAGCAAAAATGATAGACGTATAGCTGTGATGGGATGTACAGATTCCACACTGGCCAAGAAAGGGTTAATCAGCTGCTGCGGGCTGAGTCAGCCCTATTTCTTATACTTGCAATAAGTGCTGTAATTTATACTGCCAGGGCTTTACTGATGTTGTTATTTTGTAGGTCAAAGCTAGCTTAGGTATATCTACATGTGCTATACTCATGCTTTTGATTGCAGGGCAAGCATACTCTAAATGATGTAAAGCAGATTAAAGCCTTGTCTACACTAACCCCCACTGTTAAGCTAATCTACATGACTTCAGCTGCGCAAACAGAGGCAGAAACATGGGTGTATGAGGCAGGCAGGAGCTGCCAGATCCTCCACCTCCCACAGAGGCAGCAAGTGGGGGCAGGCAGCACTGTGGAGCCAGCATGCATAGAGAGCTGGCTCCCCAAGCGTGTCGGCTCCTGCCTGCCCTGTCCCCCAGCATTGCTGCCTCTGTGAGGGGAGGTGGCTCTGAGGGAGCCAGCATGCACAGGGAGCCGGCTTAAAAGCTGGCTCCTCATGGGCACTGGCTCCGACCTCCCTTCTTGCTGCTTCTGTATCGAAGGCAGTAAGGGCGGTGGAGGGGTTGTGTGTAGTCAATATGATTAACCAAGGAACCCAGGCTTATCAGTTAATCATGTAACTGACTACAGGTTAACATCTCCAGTTGTACCAGGAGTTCTTTGCATACATAAGGAGCCCTATAGGAGAAAGCATGAAGATATTTGAGAGAAGCTGACTAGTGAACAGTGAAGCCTGGGGTCACTGATGAAGTGCAAGCATGGTTGGGATCGTGATAAGTAACCAATCTCATTTGTAATACTAACTAGGGCTTAGCAACCAAAGTCCTATTCAATTTCAGACTGACCCTAGATGCCTAAGGCCCCTCTGAAAATGAGATTTAAGCTTCTAACTCAGTTACATTTTGCAACAGTGAATGGTGCAAGGTCCAGACACTTAATTGGTATATACATTGGCACAGTTCCCTTGACATCAGTGGAGCTGTATCCCTTCATGCCAGCTGTGGATCTGGTCTATTGTTTCAAATACTGCATCTGTGACAAGCAGTTTTAACCATTCTCTGTGGGTCCTTGCTTACTTGTAATGTTTGAAAGGTTTGCTTTATAACTTTGAAAACGTTTACTCAACTGAGCCCTCACACAGGAATCATTACTTCCTCCCTCTTCCCCGGCTCCCTCCAGGAGGACTAGCTCATTAACTGGGTCATTATAAAACAAAAGCTTTGCTCATTGCACCAAATACCCACCAAAGCACATTTTGAAGGCTGGAAGACGGAAATAAAATTAATTGGATATGAAGATTTTTTTATCCCTTCCACTGTTTGAACTCTCATAGGGACAAAGAAACCAAACTGAAGCTCATTTGAATAAGTGGGTTTTGCCCATGAAAGCTGATGATACCATATATATATTTGTTAGTCTCCAAGGTGCAACAAAAACACTCATTGTTTTAATAGTTCAAAAATAAAAAGTCCCAAACCTCAGTTTCAGACAGAATATTATGAATTCTAAAAATCTACTTTTCTCCTAGGGTATGTCTAAACTACATGGCTCCGTCGACGGAGCCATGTAGTTTAGACATACCCTAGGAGAAAAGTAGATTTTTAGAATTCATAATATTCTGTCTGAAACTGAGGTTTGGGACTTTTTATTTTTGAACTATTAAAACAATGAGTGTTTTTGTTGCACCTTGGAGACTAACAAATATATATATGGTATCATCAGCTTTCATGGGCAAAACCCACTTATTCAAATGAGCTTCAGTTTGGTTTCTTTGTCCCTATGAGAGTTCAAACAGTGGAAGGGATAAAAAAATCTTCATATCCAATTAATTTTATTTCCGTCTTCCAGCCTTCAAAATGTGCTTTGGTGGGTATTTGGTGCAATGAGCAAAGCTTTTGTTTTATAATGACCCAGTTAATGAGCTAGTCCTCCTGGAGGGAGCCGGGGAAGAGGGAGGAAGTAATGATTCCTGTGTGAGGGCTCAGTTGAGTAAACGTTTTCAAAGTTATAAAGCAAACCTTTCAAACATTACAAGTGAGATTTAAAGTGTACAGCAACTTCCAAGCATTTCTTAGAGTCTAAACCAGCAGTGGGCAATAAGTGACTGCAGGCCTGGTACAAGTCATCAGGGTTAGCCCCAGCAGGCTGCCAGTTGCTTTATTTACCCAAATGTCCACAGGTACAGCTACACACAGCTCCCATTGGCCATGCTTCCATTCTTCATTGTTCCTGGTCATCGGGAGCTGCGAGAAGTGTATGGGTGGGGTCATTAATTGCCCACCCCTGGTCTAAACACTAACCACTTTGTTATAAGACTAATACCTCTTTTAGTTTTGGGGAACCTGCCTCTCCTCACACACACACAGGTGAACTGGTCTTATTTTCAACTCTGAGCTTGTCATTGCTTGTAGTCTTGGCAAGAGCTACACTTGATGACACCTCTGGTATATATCATATATAGGAAAAACTACATTATGGCAACCATGTAACGGGCTTTGTCTATATTCCACAGCTTTTAGTGATATGGCCACGTTGCTAAAAGCCAAGCAGTGTAAATGCTGTTTGTCAGCTCTTTTGCCAACAAAATACTTCCACCCCCCTACTAACAGAGTTCACATTGTCAACATGAGAGCACATCTGCCAACAATGAGCCATTTATGCTGCCATTTGCCATGGCAAAATTTTTGTCTTTTGGGAAGGGAATGGGTTAAGCATCTGTGGCTATGTCTAGACCACAGGCTTCTTGCCCAAGAAACTTTTTTTTGGAAGAGATCTTCCAAAAAAGCTTCTTGCGCAAGAGAGCATCTACACTGCAAAAGCACATTGAAAAAGCGATGCACTTTTTTTGAAAGATAGCATCCAGACTGCCTGGATGCTATCCCGCATGTAAGCAGTGATTGCGATGGATAGAAAGAGATGCATAGCTGTGAACCTTCCTGCCTGGCTCAGTAATGATCTCAATATAATTTTTTTAACTGCTGTCACAATCCAAAAATGCAATTGTAATTAAAACCAGCATACAACACAACACCAGCAGGCATGAACTCTGGTAAGATGTTGCTTATGAAACTAATATATATGCATATTCTCTGACAACCGATGCAATACTCACTTTGTATGCATTCTTTAATAGCCAACAGCTCAGAGTCTCAGGTGCATCACAGAAGTGCTTGGTTCACCTGGAATCAAGAGCATAAATAGATTTTCAATACATTTTCTCCCACCCACAAACCTGGAGGGCAAGCAGCCTACCACTTCAACCAAGTGAAAGTAGACTCCTCAGCTGGTTCTTTAAGCCAGTTTCCATTCTCTGTGCACAAATTGAAGAGGATGTTTTAATCACAAATGAAACAGTGGACTTTGCACTTTCTAGTATATCAGCCATTGCAGGAAGAAAATATGCCAACTACTTTATAAAGGAAGAAATGTGTGAACTACCTGACAATAACATCTCTTGTGGAGGCAATTTTACCTATTGTAATTCCTTCCACCTATGGGAGACCTACCATCAGCCTCCTACCCACTGACCTCATTACATATGGGAGCTATGAGGTCTTGGCTAACATCTTTAATTCATTCCCTTTGAAGAGCAAATGCTTTCAATTGATTTCACAGCTTTGAAACTTTGTTTGCTATTACACATATTCAGTGTTCAAATTAGCTGCTATAACAAGAAACAAAGTTTCAAAGCTGTTAAATCCAACTATGAGGTCTCACAAGGGAATCCAAGATGGTATCTCCATATATTCTTTTTAAAGCTTGATTTCCAGGTCCAAAAGTCCATTCAAAAATTCACTTTATTCAAAGAAGTTTTTTAAACTAGCATAAAAGCATGAAAATTGATCTGCCTGTCAAAATGGTGTATAGATGAATTTTGTGACTATTATGATGGAATAAGAGATGCCTCCTATTTAA